GCTGTCTCAGCGGATGGAATTGTTTTTTCAAGTTAATTTGTTTAATCTGCATTATTTTCAGGGATTTCTGACAACCTACTCCTCTCTATTATCCATCCACCGAGCTATTTCCGAATCGTATACATAGTCTTTTTTCAACTTACTCCGTTATACAAGACTGGCATGACCGATGCAAGGTTGTTGTTATTTTCTGCCATATTGTCTCTCATGCGTATACGCTTCTGAGTCCTGATAAAGTCTCGATACCGTAAGAACGCCGATAGCCTGAAATTATGACGGGAACTTTTTGCCGTTCTCGAGGATGCCCAGCTTCGGGCCCTACCCTTACTGATTTTTTTTATAGATAAAACATATCAGTGTAATAATATTTTTATTTTGGTTAGAAAGGTTTCGGACACAGTAATTTTAAACCCGTGACTATCCTGGACTTACACTCTACAACTATCGTTTCTTAGCTCCTCGTTTATTTCACCTTCATGATAGAATTTAAGTGCCTCGTGTTTTGTACATCTTAGTTGTTATGATTGAAAACTGTGTTTCGTTACAGATAGTACATAAATAACCATCGGAGCTTACATTTTCCCTGGAAATCTCTGACGCTCACAATTTCTTCCACTTTTAGGCCTCAAACAAGTACTGGAGATCAATCAAATGCTGCTGCTGACCGCAGTGAAATGTCAGTCGCTAGCGAGTCAGGTTCCTCAGGCATGGATTTTGGCGTTGGAGACCTCTCTTTTGATGTGCGGAACCCGATATCCCAGACTGCAGGTATGGTCTGAATTTCATTTCTTTCAGTCAAACTTCTTCCTGCGGTGGTTCTCTGCCCTTTACTGTATGTTTATTTGACAGGTGCGATGCCACGCATAACCCAATTTGCCATTTTACTTAACCATTGGACACTCATCCACAGTCTTATTCATCCATGTGTTAGCACGTTAAACCTTCAGCTTTTATTCCTTTCCCACACACATGGTTGGGCTTCAATCATGGCTTCATTGAGTTCGCTTTTTGGGGCGCAGATGCATAAAAACTCACACGTCCACACATTCGCCAAATTTGCTCCCATGAAACACCTAATCTAACAGTTCTTTTACGGACACCTTACCCAACACAAAATCCAGTTCCCACTGTCCACGCCTCCTCCTTTCTACCTGCAGGTATCCGACGCTCTGTGCCCTCTTCAATTCTGAGAGCTGTTGTTTACCGTCTGATAATGTGTAGTGGTAGAATCTGTTCGAAAGGCATCGTCATTCCTCGAGGTGATTTCTCCCTCTCATTTACTCATCTTTGTCTTGTCTCTGTCGTCGACAAACCGATCAGTACTTCCTATAGTTATAATGTCTAATAACCAGTCCATTGTGTTTGAAAGTTGTTCGGCGAACACAACCTAACAGCCTTTTCCAATTAACATACTAGATGTTTGAGTTGAAATCCTAATCATTCACACAGCAACATCACTTTGTAAATTTTGAGCCGAACATAATTTCCTGACGGTTAGATAAACCGCAATTAGATTTAATCCA